TACAACACGAATTCATCAGTATTTTTAAGTTTGCACACTGTACAAAAAAGTAGTTCTTGTCCTTTTTCATTGTGCATTCTGTTGCATGACTTTGTGAGGAAAGGACAAAGGGGGGAGGGGGGTGTTTGGACAGGGGATGGTTGTTAGCTAGGGACCTACGGAACAGAATAGAAGCCTTTTGGGAGGTGGGGCTTTTTAAATCTGAGTTTCCTGTACCTTCTCCTTGGTGTGTGTTTTTATGACAAAGGGCTCAGCCATTGCTGTGATGGTGCTGGGCAAGGTTCGAGGCAAAGAGTTCCCAACATTGTTGTCTGTCCATTTAGCTCCATGGCCAGTTGGTTTATAGGTATTATATTTAGGCTTTAGAGTGCCGTAGTCCACCTTATATGGGCTGTAGTCCTCTTTGTGTGGACTATAATCAAGTTTAGGTCTCTGAGTGTGTGGATTAAAATCAGATTTCAAGGCGCTGTAATCCACTGTGTGGGGGCTGAAGTCGGTCTCAAAGGTGCTGTAATCTGTAGCGGTCTTATGGGGCATGTAGGGATCCTTGGGCTTGTTGGTAATGTCAGTTTTAGGTCTCTGGGCATTGTAGTCTGTTTTGGGTTTAGGCTGAGTGCTAAAGTCAGGTTTAAATGGGCTGTAGTCAGGTTTAGGTCTTGGGTGAGTGCCAAAGTCTGGTTTGAATGGACTGTATTCAGCCTTAAGTTTAGGCTGTGTATTGTAGTCTGATTTTAATGGGCTGTAGTCATGTTTAGGTTTTGGTTGGGTGCAGTAATCCCGTTTGAATGGGCTGAAGTCAGATTTCTGCCTAGGGTGAGTGCTGTAATCTGTTTTGAAAGGGCTGTATTCTGTTTTAGATTTTGGGTGAGTGCCAAAGTCTGGTTTAAATGGGCTGTATTCTGCTATAGGTTTGTGTGTACTGTAGTCCTGTCTAAATGGGCTGTAGTCAGGCTTTGGTCTATGAAGGCTGAAATCTGGTGTAGATTTGTGAGTGATGTAATCTGGAATGGATTTGTGGCTACTGAAGTCTATATTTGGCTTGTATGTAGTATACTCAGCCTTTGGCTTGTGAAGGGTGAAATCAGGCTGGGGTTTGTATTCAGCCTTGGGCTTGTGGAAGCTGTAATCAGTCTTGTGGCTGATAAAGTTCAATTTGTGTATGCTGTTATGGTCCTGGATTTCAGGCAACGTGAGAGCTGTTTCTTGAGCTGCAGATGCTGGTGGTGGAAGGTCCTCCTCATCCACCTGGATAATCTCCACAGTGCGGGCAGCTGCCACTGTGCTCCTCTGTTGGTGGCGCTTTCTCAGTTTGTAGAAGGCAATGAGCATGACAGCAGCCAACAGTGTCACTGCCACAAAGCAACCTATTATGATCTTGGTGGTCTTCATCACTTCATCCAGACTAGGGCCAGTCTTGCCTGGCTTGCCAGTGGCACCTTGGAGTCCTGGCACCACAGATGGCTTAGCTGCATTTGGGCTGTTGGTGCTTTGCAGCAACACAGTTGGTGTGGAAATAAAGACTGGCTGAAAGACAGAAGGAGAGGCAGTTGTGGTTGTTGTCCCTAGGCCTACTCCTCCTCCTCCAGCCACCCCAGCTCCCGCAGCAGCAGCTGTGGCCATAGTGGTTTTAGGTTTGGGCATCTCAGCGGTTGACCCCAAGACCTCTACAGTCACTGTGGTAAAGTAACTCAAGTTGGATGTATTAAGCTCGGCTGCACTCACATTGAGGTAGGCCGAGGCATTGGAGTTCCCAGCTGCGTTGGACACCATGCAGATATAAGTGCCTGTGTCTGCTGCAAGGACATTTGAGAAATTAAGGGTACCATCATTGAGGACTGATATTCTCAGGTGACTAGAAGCATGTGTTAAGATAGTCCCATTGGGTAGAAGCCAGCGCACTGATGACATTGGGGCAGTGCGACAATGAAGCTCAGCCACACGCCCTGCTGAGGTGTTCAAATCCCTTGGTGCATCGGCAATGAAGGGTGCAGAACACTGGACTGCAGCACCCTCACCTCGGTCCACCTCAACCAGCTGTCGGCTTCTCATGCTTGCAGGTGAGTGACAGCGTCCACAGCATGTTGAGTTAGTAGGGATGTACTCCCTAAGCCAACGTGCCAACCATACAGCCTCACAGCCACAGTTCCAAGGGTTATGATGGAGATGGAGTTCTACCAGGTACCTGAGCGGTGAGAACAGATCATGGGGCACAGCGCTCAGATTATTATGGGCGAGATTTAGCTCCACCAATGAAGTTAGGTCATCAAAAGCATTGCGCTCTATCAATGTGATTTGTGAGTTCATTACCCATAGCTTTTTCAGTGAGCGCAGGCCTTTGAAGGAGCCTGGTCTTAACTCAGGGAAGTGATTTTCAGAGATTTCCAACTCCTCCAGGCCCTTCAGGGGGCTCAGATTTGGCATATCACCTCTTATGTTGCACATGCCCAGGTTGAGGTACTTGAGGTTTTGTAGGCCCTCAAAAGCTCCCTCTGAGATGTACTCCAGTTTCCTTAACTCTCCCAGGTCCAGTCGCATAAGGGAGGGCACTCGGTTGAACGCATAGGAGGGGATGCTCTCTATGGGGTTGTTCCTCAGCCACAGTTCTCTCAGTTTAGACAGGTACTCAAAGGCCCCACTGGGCACTACCGTCAACCGGTTATCAAAGAGCTCCAGTGTGTTGAGGCTGGTCAGTCCATTAAATGCACCCACTTCAATCTGCCTTATGGCATTTCGCCCAAGCTGGAGAACCTCAAGGTGGTGCAGGTGGCGGAAGGAGTCAGCCTGCACTGCCTCAATAGCGTTGCAAACCACCTTCCCCTGCTGATTACTGCAGGAACATTGTGGTGGACAGCCCTGGGGTCCTTGAGACACTGCCGCCCCCGCCAAGGCCGGGGAGGCGCTGCTCCACACACGCGCCATCAGGAAGACTACACAGAGCAGGGCGGCTTTCCTGGCACGATGCACAGCTACCCGCCCCAGGAGACTCATGATGTGGCACATTCATAATTCAGCATCATCTGGGGGGAGGATGGGGGTGTTTGGGGCTTTGGGGATAGGAAAGTAGCTGGTGTACTGGTACTAGTGTTAAGGGGACCAGAATAAACAGGTTAAGGGACCTGAAGAAGTTGAGGGGAGAATATGGGTTTAGGGTGCTTGCTAAGGGGCAAGAGCACTTGACCTATCCTCAGTTAAGCAAGGCATTTATTTCCTCAGACTGTGCTCATGGCCAGAAGAAGGTTGAAAGAGCTGGCTTTTCTGAAACATGTGTATGAGAGGGACATAATGGTAAGTTAAGCAACCAAAAACCATATTACAAGACAGAAGGGAGGGTAGGCTGTTATAAATTGATGCAAAGAGGTGTTGAAACACTAGACACCTACCTCAAGTTATTATTACAGGTCCTTGAACTGATATAGTTTCCCTCCTTTTTGCAATCAGCAAGAGCTGTGATATTCAGATCAGTTGTAAATATATCCAAGAGGAGCCAAGAATGCCTTTTTTATTTGCTCTGTCAAAACAGGCATTAATGCCAAAGAGCTTAATCAAGATGAGCCCTTTTGTAAATCCACACATCCAAACAGAAAGATTTGAAGGCCCTTAGCGAGTGTTTTTTCTCCTTGATTAGATAAAAAGAAAAACTGTAGATAGAAATCCAGTCAGGCTCCCAAAGCAGCAGTGCCCCCTTACTCCCTTCTTGCTGTCGGCTCCGCTTCTTTTACTTGTCCTTGGAATCCGACAGTTGATCTGTCCGCTAGACACTTTACACAGGTCTCCATAGCATAGACAAACACAAAAACACAGTTTTTTTTTTGAGCACTGAAAGCCAAGGCAGAAAGGACAAAAAGAAGGCGATAGGTGGGGGTGGGATTGGAGAAGGTTGAATGAAAAATTCCACAGTCCTTTCCAATGTTCTTTGCCTTTCGCTTGTGATGGTTAGGAGTGGAGGTTGAAACAAAAAAACCAAACAAAAAACCCTTCGCATATGTATTCCTCTGTTCACTTTTTAGTGGTCAGTCACTTGGTCGGATGGTGAGTCTGACAGCCCTCTTGCTCCCCCACTCAGCATAGCACTGTGTCCACTTGATTTTTCTTTCTTTGTTATTTTTTTTTTGCTCTCCTCCAGGAGTGCGCGACAAAGGTTGAAAAGACTAGGCAACACACACTGCCTTCATTAGCTTCTTCCTCTTGTTAACTAGCCACACGCTCCAGCCTCAGCATCCACGGTGGCAACAGCAGCAATTGCAAACGCACACACACACCATCCCTGCAAAGCACACAGCAGCAGCAAGCACACACAGCAGCAGCTGCAGCCTGCCTCCCATGCACTTCCCAAAAATCCGTCAATTTTTTTCAGAGGGGGAGTGGGGTGAGGGATAGAAGGGGGTGCTGGGAGCAGTGGGGCTGTTGTAGCTGGGTTGATTGAGGTGGGTTAGAGGGAGGAGGGGTGGTGCGCAGTTTCTCCTTCCTCTCCGGCTTGTTTCTTTTCTTTTTTCTTTTCGTTTTCCAGTTCTTTTTTTCCTCCTCTCCTCGTGGTGATCATCACCCCCCTTCCTAATGCAGCGTCCGATGGGGGAGAGGTGCAACACAGGAAAGGCAAGTGCTGGATGAGCGTGCGGTTTACAGGCGTGACGTTAACAGTAGCGTCGATGTGGAAAGGATCCGTTGTAGCAGTAAAAGAGAGTGCGCTGGCTTGGATCGCTCTCGCTCACACACACTCTCTCTCTCCTGCTCTCTCACTCTCTTTTTCTCTCACACACTCTCTCTCTCCCTACCTCCCTCCTGCTTTCTCTGCAGTGTCTTGAGGTAGTTGGATGAGCTCAAAACACTCAGACCTTTTAGACATCTACCTCTTCAAAAACCAGTTTACTTCTGCTGTCCTTTGCTCTTTTTAATGCCCACAGTCTCTAGTTTTGTCCTTTTGTTTGGCTTAGGGGAATAGGATGGCTTCTGAGGCAAAAGGTAGAGATGGTCACTGGCATCGCCAAAGCAACCAGATTTTAACCCTCTCCTCTCCGACAATAATCAAGCATTCCAGTGAGTCTGGCAAAGGTTTACAGCATTGCTTTGGAGGCAAAGGCAGGCAGACAGGACACAGTTTCTCTCACTCCCTCCATTTTCTGTTCTTTCTCTTTATCTTTGATTTCTTTCACTTCATCTCCCCATGCTCTCTTTTCATTTTGTCCTTTAGTGGAAAATAGAGGAACATGAATGGACTGCTGACGCATCCTGCTTGGAGCAGTGCTTTGGTTTGATGCAGTGTGTTTTGTGCATTAATACCCCCCCCCCCCCCTCCGCCC